CCAAAGAAACTATGTTATCTTTACTAATGGCATAGACAAATTCTTCTGTATCTACAGACAGCTTAGGTAAGGCAGTTTTGTTGTGTAGTATAAAAGTAAATGGGTTCATTAAATCTATACCAACTACATGCCTTTAGAAAGACATGCTTTTCAAGCAAAAGTTGCAGTTCCATGTAATTTTTATTTAAAAACATGACATTTGCAAAAAGCACATGTGAAATCCACTTCTCTGCTAACTTCTACAGACTAGCCTTAGTGCCTTCTCTGTGCTACAGGGATCAAAATCCAGTTGTAAGCATTTTAAAAACATGTATATATATATTCTTAAGATTTATTTTTATTGGGAAGGCAGATTTCTAGAGAACAGAGAGAAAGATCTCCCATCTGCTGGTTCACTCCTCAAATGGCCACAACAACCAGACTGAGCTGATCTGAAGCCAGGAGTTGGGAGAGTCTTCCGAGTCTCCTACATGGGTATGGGGCCCCAAAGCCTTGGGCCCCCTCAACTGCTTTCTCAGGCCACAAGTAGGGAGCTGGGCTGGAGGTGGAGCAGCTGTGACACAACAGGCACCCATACAGGACGCCAGCGCTTGGAGGTGGACGATTAACTAGTTGAACCAACATGCCGGCCCCTAATTGTAAAATTTATAAGCACTCTTTTGTGGTTTCAAATACACAGCACATCTACCAATCCTTCTCACTTAAGATACAGAGAACAGATATCAAGAAATAAGGAATACACTATGTTAAAATGATAGTTTCCAAAGGTTTCTTTGAAGTATAGCTTAATTTAAAACCTTATTTTGACTTTTGAATCATATATAATAAAACAAGATCCTAGAATAAAGTAACCAATAAATCCTAACAAATTGTTAATATAACCAGAGAAAAGTATTTTAAGTGACTCTTAAGCATAGCACTCTGATTATAATATAATCCTTTCATATAATATGTTCTAAGTACAAAAATTCAGTGCAAAGAAATATTATATTTTGTTCAGAGGTTTACTGATAGTAACACTTGTACTTTTAAGAAGACTGTGTAAATAGAAATAAATTAACCTCATCAGGTAGTAAGATTTTCATTTAAAGACAAAAGGCACAATATTTAATGAAATACAAAAGTCTACCATGTTAAATCTGAATTAGATGTATCCCTGCAAAGCCATGATTAAACAAAAAATGTTTCTTATTTTCCTTTCAAGATTACTACAAACTGATGATTAAGCAAAAAATGTTTCTTGTTCTCTTTTCAAGGCTCCTAGAAGCAACAGCACCCAGCAACTGAACGTGACACATATCCAGATTTTGGTTTCTATATACTATTCCTCTGTACAAAGAACCAAGACTTCTTGAATAAACCGTCGTCTCTAGACTTGAAGCCAAGCACAAGCCTTTGAGAGCCCGTGTCAGCAAGCACTCCAGCATTAATCAGTGAGAAGGGCTGCAGAAGGCAGAGCAGTCAGCTCGCATGATGGCCACTGATCAAATTTTGGGACAGTTTAATCATCAGAAAGAAAAAAAGCCACAATTTATAAAATGAATAAAAACCCATGAAAGGTTAAGGCGTGATCTAGAGACTGAACTGCTGGATGGAAGATTTCTTTCAAAATAAATATCAATAAGTAAACGCAGGGGGAGGAGCAGACTGTTGTTGAGGACACCCACATCCCTCAGGTGGATTATCTGGTGTGATTCCTGGCTGATCCCCTTCTGATGCAGCCACCTGCTGAAGTGCATGCAGGGTTAGAGTAGGACAGTTGCAGCGCTGGGGGCCCTGCCATGTATCACACTGCACAGGACCCTGGGCTGCTGGCCTGGCCCTGGCTGCTGCGGGCAGCACGACAGAGAACCCGTCCACAGATGATCCCTGCGTCTCTCCCTTGCAAATAAACAACCATGGTAATGATTTGCCCCTCAAAATAATTAACAAAACAGAGCACCTTACCTGCCACCACTGGGGAGAAAATCTCTCCAGTTCTTTACTCTGAATATTAATTAAAGGCATAAAATTAAATATTGAATCTGTATTAGATACTTAATTAGGAAAATTCATTCCCTACCTAAGGAAGGAATCTGACAAAGAACCTCTAACAAAAAAATTAATTTTAGTCAGAGTCAGCCATGGGTGCTAAAAATCTCTAAGCAAAAGATATTCAGAGACCAGCACTGTAACACACGTGGTTAAGCTGCTGGCCAAAAAGCAGCATCCCAATGGGCACAGCTCCAGCCCAACGGTCCCACTTCTCACACTGCCCTCTGCTCATGTGCCTGGGCAAACAGCAGCAGTGGCCCCAGGACTTGAGTCAGACAGACTTCCAGGCTCCTGGCTGCAGCCTGGGCAGTTGCAGCCATTTGGGGAGTGAACCAGAAGCGCGAGCTCTCCAATTCCTTAATTAAATAAGTTTTTCAAAAGTCCTTAGACACAGGATATTTGTTTGGTGCCAAAGAATTTCCCCAAGAATTATCCTGGGAATGCAAGCAGGCCAGCCATATCTCTAGCAGATCTGAAAGTCACTACTTTAATCAAGGATCCCATTTAGCACCACGGAGCATCACCATGTGGCATTACGCACTCCCTACATGATGTGGTATGAGGTACACAGCATCACCTACGTCACATTCTTGCCTAAGAAAGCTGCACATCAAGCTCATCAAGCCTTTCTGCAGACGTAACTTTCAGCAATTTACAGGAAAAAGGAATAAATGAAACAACAGGACACAAACAACCCAAAATGTAGGTGTATTCTAGACAACTGGTTTGGTTAACTGGGTATATAAAAAAAAAAAAAGAAGAGACAATGAGTATTATTTTTTAAAAAGAGAATCAAGACTTAATCACCCAATGAAGCACATTAATCCTGATTGCAGAAGAGGAGAGAAAGGCTGTGAGAACAATTAGAAATGCTAAAGAACAACTGAAGAAACTGAGTGTGGGCTGGTTTCTGATAGGTACTGATGTCACTAGGGTTGAAACAACATACTTATTTTTACGAAATGTATACTGAAATATTCGAGGTGGCAGGGCTGCAATTTCCTTTTTTTTTTTTAGATTTATGTATTTTTATTGCAAAGTCAGATATATAGAGAGGAGGAAAGACAGAGAGGAAGATCCTGTCTGTTGATTCACTCCCCAAGTGGCCACAACAGCCGATGCTATGCCGATCTGAAGCCAGGAGCCAGGAACTTCCTCTGGGTCTCCCACACGGGTGCAGGGTCCCAAAGCTTTGGGCCGTCCTTGACTGCTTTCCCAAGCCACAGGCAGGGAGTCAGATTGGAAGTGGAGCAGGCAGGATTAGAACTGAGCCCATATGGGATCCCAGCACGCTCAAGGCGCGGATTTTAGCCACTAGGCCAGCTAGGCCACCGTGCAGGGCCCTGCAATTTACTTTCAATGGGACACACATACACAAGAACAACACTACAAAACACCAATCACTGAATTTTACCGGTGGGAGCATATCACCCTTCCACTCCCCCTTATGTTCTGTTCCACAGACTGAAAATTGTTACACCAACTTTTTTTTAAAAAAGAACATCTATTAGGGCCCAGTCTGGCACTGCACTCTCCTTGCACCCTCTGGGATCCCATATGGGCTCGGATTCTAATCCTGACAGCCCACTTCCCATGCAGCTCCCTGCTTGTGGCCTGGAAAAGCAATTGAGGGCAGCCTACAGCCTGAGATCCTGCACCTGTGCGGGAGACCGGGAAGAGGCTCTGGGCTCTTGGTTTCAGATCGATGCAGCTGTGGTCATTGCAGCTGCATAGGGAGTGATTCAATGGATGGAAGATCTTTCTCTCTGCACATCTGACTTTCCATTAAAAAAAATCTTTAAAAAAGTACATCTATTAAGACATGCAGTAGAAAATACACTTACATACAGTTTCTCTGGAGTTCTACTCTCAATTCTATTACCAACAAGTGCAGCCTAAGGCAGGTGCTGATTTCCATAAAATTTGAGTTCGCAGTATGTGTCATTAGACTGACGTTAAGACTACATATTTGAAACGCCTAGCAGTGTCGCACAAAACAAACCTCGCTTTCATAATCAATACAATCACCCTAAAACACAACAGTAAAGGGCAACATTCACTCTCTACCCTGAGAGGAAACCAAGTTAGGTAAAATTTATTATTATCAGTCTCCTGGAAGTCCGAGGGAAATTACGAGAAATTAAACATTCACACAGATTTTCCAATCCAAGAATTTCAACCGAAATCTCAAACAGAAGGAAACCTCAAGCTTTACCTATCCCATCTTTGCCATCTATCAAACTGCACAGGTCGCTCATGGTTGTTAGACTACTTCCCAGTAAACACGAGCAATAGAAACCGGAGTCAAAGAGAATCCTGCCCCGATCGCGACAGAAAAAGAAATTAAGTTTCTGTCTTCATTTCTCTAAGTTGCAATAAAGAATTCAATTATGGGGCCTTATTCTAAACGCTGGTTACGACGCTGGTTACGATTCCCAGCATTCACAAGGTCCCAATTTCTTTTCAACGGTTGCAAGGTGCTCCTCATTTCACTTGCATGTAGCCCCCCCTTTTCTGGTTAGGCCGGCAGGAAAACGAGCCAATGTAGAAACCTCTCAGGTGGGAAAGATAAAAAGTCTTTTTTTTTTTTTTTTAAAGAAGTGCCATCTTTTTCTTCACAGCACCAAAGAAAAAGCAGAAGGGAGAGGGAGGCAAAACGCAGGTCTCGGGGTCGCGGGGTGCACCAGGTGAACACCTGCGCTCGTTCTGCACTAGGGCGTGGGGCAAACGCGTGTGCAGCAGGCGGGGTGCACCCAGCAAGGTTGGGGGAGTCGCTCCTGGACTGCGCGGCTCCAGGCCGGTCTCCCTTCCCTGCCAGGAGAGACCCTAGGGGGGATGCGCCCCGCGCGGATGGGGTGTAACGGACCATCAGCAGCCCGGAGGCGAGCGCTCCCCCGAGTGCACCGGCGACGTGTGGCGGCCGCATCCCCTGCCTTGCCTCCCGCCCAGCCGGCCTTCCCCATTACCTGCGGGCCCGGAGGCCTGCTGCTCCTCCTCCCCGCCAGGCTGAGCGGGCGAGGTGGCGGCGGCGGTGGCGGCGGCGGCGACACCCCGGGGGCAGGGGGCGGAGCGCGCGGCTCGCTCCCTCTCCTCCCCCGGGAGCTCAGGGGACCCTATCTCGGGCCGCCGCGCCTAGGCCTGTGGGGCTGGGGCATGGCGGGCCGGCCCCCCGGCGCGCCCGCGAGGTGCAGCAGGGCCGGCGGCGGCGAGGAAGGCACGCCGGGCGCGCGGAGGGGCCCGAGGGGAGGAGCCAAGGGGCCCCGGCGCCGCGCGCGGCCGGCCGTTGGGGGCGGCTGGCCGAGGGCGGCCGGCCGAGCGGGCAGAGCGGCGACGGCGGGCGTTCTCCCGGCGGGGCGGGGTGGGGAAGGGGAAGGGGCCGAGGGGAGGGGAGGGGAGGCTGGGAGGGAGCCGCCGCCGCACGCGCGCGGGCCGGCGCCGCCGCCGTGGCCGCCGCTCGCACTCCAGCCTGTTTGGGGGCACTTTGTTTGTGTCCCACAATGCTCTGCGCACACGGCGGCGAGGGCTGGAGGGGGTGAGGGGAGGGGCGTGGCCAGCGGGGGGCGGAGCCCAGTGTGTGTGTGTGGGGGGGAGACGAGCCTGTTGCGCAAGCGCAGAAAAGGCCCTTGGAGGCGTCGGGATTTGAACTGTGGGCGACTCGGTGTCCTGGTGGGGCGCGGGGGCGCACGGCGCGGACCCTGTGGGCCTTGACACAATGCCTTTTTCCTTGTGGGCGCACGTGCAGGTTCATATCCATAGTCTGCATAAGGCCTGAACAATGCGCCTTTCCTGCACGCAGCCTTCTCCCTCGCCTACACTCAGAGCATGAATTTTTTCCTCCTCAGCTTTCATAACTAATCGCATCCTCCCCATCCCCCCTCCCGTCCTTTTCCAACTAAAAATCGGGAGAGACTCCGATTTTTTTTTTCGGGTTATTTTTTGTGGCAGGATCGAAACCGAAACACCCCAGCTCCTCCCTCGGTGAGAGAGGTTAGTGGGTTGTGTTCCCATTTTTCACACCTGGAAACCGAGGCTTTTGGGCAGGTGAGGGTCGTGCGCACCGGGCGTTCTCCCGTGGCCACCGCCTGGACTCTGCCGCTCACCACTGTCAAGGCGGTTCTAGAATTATCCCCGGGCGACGTAGAGTCGAGCAACGGCTGTTTCCCTCCTCCCCGCACCCCCAACACCCTCCACACACCGCCCTCCCACCCACACAGGGGCACCAACAGCGGGTCCAAAATATATACCTATTGCTTTCACCACGGTGACTCGTTTGATTTCCCCCATCGCTTAGCTTCCAGGGCTTCCGGGGAGGGAGCGTGCCGGCCACCCGGAAGTGACCGGTAACTGTCTGGTGGGTGTTGGAGTTCTGGGTCGGTTGCCAAATCAATCGTTTGAAGTGCAAAGGCGGGGGACCGCAAGCCCCGAGTCCCTTTTCTGGGAGGGCCTTGGAGGCTCCCCAGGTATCTGGAGGTGGGTGGGCGCCAGGGCACTCTGTGCACCCGGTTTTGACGTACTTTATTTTCCCACACCTCCAGCTTTTAGGAACGGAGGACTTCCTCTGTGCAAGGTGGAGAAGCTGACGTCCCCGCCAAAGCAGAGCGGATTTTTTTTTTTTCTTCCCCAACGCTCACGTTAATCTTCTCCCCAAGCTTGGGCAAACAGCCTAGCACCCGCACACCCTACTTCTAACAGCTGAAATCCGCTGGAGAAGTAAAGGCAGTGAAAGCGGCTTGCGTGCATAGCCCCTGGCTGTTTCCAACAAGTTATTCTGCAGTGTTGTTGAGTCCTCGCAGCTCCTGTGCTCTCTAGGTTTCTCTTGTTATTCTCTTACACACACACATACATGCATATATGTGTACATATGTGTGTGCATATAATTACACTCGTTTCAGAGGTGAGGAAAATCAGAATGATGCAACACTAAAGGATTTTTGCTGAGATTTTTGAAGAAAGATAGGAAAAGATGACAGAGTGCTTACCTGCGGGAGCCAGGCTGAGGCAAAGACTTTGAGCTGGAGGTGGTGGTGCAAGGATGAGTGTTTGGTTTGTATAAGGTGAACAGCCAGAGCACCACTGGTGTGGTAATAAGGTAATCAAAATAAGCCCCATCTACCTTGCCTAGGGCATTTAATAGGCCACGCAATAAAAGACCAGGTGTTTCTTAAGGGACTGGAGGTGACAGCAACTGGCAGGTGGCACAAAAACTTGATTTTCCTTGGATTGTTCTTTTGTCTCATCTCCTCTTTTCTCCCTTTGAATTTCTTTTTTTTTTTTTTTTTTCACTCTGCCACTTTAAGATGTTTGATCCTTCCCTCCTCTTCCCCTTTGGGACCCAGTGTTAGCTGCTTGAAGAGGGTGTGAGAGAGTACAAATTAACTGTCACGGGAGCCCTCTTCTCGGGTTGGCTTGGGCAGGGTCAGTTTCTGTGGCTTTTGCAGCCTCCCACCTTTTCTCTTCCCCTGCGAGTGGGGACTTGTCCTTGCGCTGTTGGGACACAGACGTCTTTGACACTAAGTTGAATAACATGGCTGGGAGGACTTTGTGAAATCAGAATTCTGCACATAGGTGAAACAAACAAATGTAGACAGTACAAGGAACCTTTAATTATTAACTCAGTTTGGATGATTCTGAGGAATTCAAATTCCAGGTGCCTTTTTTTTTTCCAGCCATGAGCTGTTTGGGGGTACAAATTCTGGCAAAAATGAACCTTTTCTGTGGTAAATCATTAGTGCTAGATAGGACCTGAACCCAAAATATATTTCCAGAGCAAGGATGTTTTCCACAGAAAAAATCTCTAGTTTGACTTGAACAATTCCAGTGAAAAGAGCTCACTGCAGCAGAAGTCAGTCGTGCTTCTTTATTATTCTAAATACATTTTAAATACATTTTAAAAGAACTAATGTCACCCCCCTCACTCTGAATCGGAGTCTAAAGTTCCCATTTCACCATCCACCCAGTTGAGCAAGTCAACTTGGCTGCTTCAGTATTACGTTGCATCTCGATTCCCGTAAGTCCTAGAGAATTTGTTATTCTCATCAGCAACACCCTAACGTAAGAATATAGCTTGTCTAGAGAAGAGGAATACCACTTACTGCTTCCATACGCTTCCCTTCGCCTCATTACCTATGGGATATTCAGGCATAGTGATCACATCACCCAATATAGCGTTATTTTGTTCTTGGGATAAAGTCTCAAACACAAAGGGTATCACAACCCTGTGCGATCTGGACCCTACCCAAGGTCGTCAGTTTCATCTCTCAATATGCTATACCAGTTGTTAACATTTTATGCCCAGAGTAAATGTCTATTGCATTGTTTGGGACACCTGCCATGCATATGCCTCGGCTTGAGACATAGTTACGCTTCTGATTGTGGATTCCTGCTAATGTTATTTTTTCAACTAAATAAACATGTTTGTTTTTTTTTCTAGGAAGGTGAGAAGGCATGTTTTATTCCATTTTCCATGAACTGTGCACATTTGAATATAAATACCAAGTTTACTGAGATATAATTTTCATACTATAAAATCCATCCACTTAAGATACAAGTCAGTGGGTTTCAATATATTTGCAGTTGTGCAATGATCATTAAAATTAATCTTTAAGATTGATTTATTTATTCACTTGAAAGGCAGAGTTACAGAAGGAGAGGGAAAGAAAGAGGTGTTAACCAGGTGTTACCAGGTGTTAACTTACCTCTCCAATGGCTGTGGCAGCCAAAGCTGAGCAGGTTCAAACTCAGAACCCAGGAGCCAGGAGCTTGTTCTGCGTCTCTCATGTGGATGCACGGGCCCAAAGTTTTGGGCCATCTTCCACTGTTTCTCTTATGAGTAGGAATTGGATTAGAAATGGAGCCACGGGGACTCAAACCAGTGCCAATATGGGATGCTGGCACCACAAGCAGTGGTTTTAGTGGACATGCCACAATGCAGGACCCTAAAATCAATCTTTTAAAAACATTAACATCGGGCCCGGCGCGGTGGCGCAAGTGGTTAAAGGTCCTCGCCTTGCACGCCCGGGATCCCATATGGGCGCCGGTTCTAATCCCGGCAGCCCCGCTTCCCTTCCAGCTCCCTGCCTGTGGCCTGGGAAAGCAGTCAAGGACAGCCCAAAGCTTTGGGAACCTGCACCCGCGTGGGAGACCCGAAAGAGGCCCCTGGCTTCGGATCAGCATAGTATCGACCCGTTGCGCTCACTTGGGGAGTGAATCATCGGACGGAAGATCTTCCTCTCTGTCTCTCCTCTCTGTATATCAGCCTTTCCAATGAAAAAATAATAAAAAAAAATAAATCTTTAAAAAAAAAAAAAAACATTAACATCATCCCGGAAAGAAACCTACATCCAATAGCAGTCATTTCCATTTGCCCAACTCCTTAGCATTAGGCAACCACTTACCCATCTGCTTTCTGTACAGATTCTCAGTGCAATATTTTGCGATTTGTTTCCATGCAGATCTATTTTTGTGTTTGATTGGTGTATCTTTTAAGTCCTCTTCCTACACATTCAAGTTATCTATTTGCTTATTTTCATTTGGTTTCAAAGGTAGAGACAGAGATTATCTAGCTGCTGATTTACAACTCCTCCGACCTCCCCCCCGCCCCCTCCCCCCCGCCCCCCCCCGGGAAAAATAGCTGCAAGAGCTACGGTAAGGCCAGGCCAAAGCCAGAAGCCCAGAAGCCTTTCCAGGTACCCAGTGTGGGGGACAGGGACCCAGGTACTTGAGGCAGCACTTGTGGAATGGGGACTCAAAACCTGGGGACTTCTATATGCAATGAGGCATTTTAATCAGTATCTTAACTGCTATACCAAAAGCCTTCCCTGCTTAAAATAGCCTTTCCTTTTTAAAAATAGGGCTAGGTTGTTTATCTCATGGCATTTCCTATCATCTAGATTTTGTCGTTTGCATCACTGTGGTGTATTTAACTCCTCCCTTTGTCCTATGCATTTTCTGTAAATTGGCCATAAGATTACATATTTTGTCAGATCAGATTTAATTTTTGGCCAGTAGGCATTACAGGCGATGCTATACTTTCCCATTAGGAGACACACAGTGTGGGTTTCCATCTCTTTTTTGTGATCTTGGCAGCCTTTAGGTTCATTCATTCATTAGTTTCAAAATAGTGATATAAATCTGTAATGCTTCATTCATTAGCCACATTGCTTCCACAGAGAAAATTTCCCCTTTTCAGTTATTTAAGTACCTGGTGGTAAAGTTTTTATGAAAAAGAAGAGCATGGGCCCGGCGCGGTGGCGCAAGTGGTTAAGTCCTCGCCTTGCAACCCCGGGATCCCATATGGGCGCCGGTT